TTTTACATTATTAATGATTTTAATGGCCCTTTTAATTATTTATTCACTCTTGTTCCTCTTCCCTGACGGTCTTGCATAGGGGTCCAGCACTTCCGGTGCCGGGCACTTTTAGAAATTAAGCCGTCCGTGTAGCAAATCGGGAGGTCCGGTATTCGAAAGCTGGCGAGGGCATAGTACATTTTTCATGTCTTCTACATCGATAAATCTGATGATTCTACGTATTTCTGGAACTTGTTTATGCTTTATGATACCATCTGTAAAAACTGCAACATGCGAAGTCAGCCTGCCATGTTTTTTATCTACCGGCCACAATTAAATAAATAATTTGGAAAATCGTACAGATTGTTTAAAATTAAAATACAAAGATATGATTTCATACTTCAAGAAAGCAAAACTAAACAACATTTTAAAATTACTATATTTATTGTCACATGAAACTTATGAATTTCTTAGTGTCATAGCTTATAACTTCGAATGCCTGCCTGACTAAAATCTCATCAGCGTAATTTTAAAAATTTGCTCTTTGTACAATGAAGTTCATAACATCATGTGCTGACAGAGATGAAGATTTTTCGGCAAATCTGAAGAAAGCCTACAATCCTTCATCAGCTTTCTTCCAAGTAACTTTCTTGCTCTAATTTTCTACTTCATTTTGCTTCATTCGCTTCCGAGCTCCAATTCTTTGAAGCTCTTTATGCTTCATTTTCATACACTTGCTACTACTCATCATTTAACTTCTTTCCCAGTACATGACCGATTTATTCATCGTCATCTTGAAAGGATGTGACGGAAACCGTATTGTCTCCATTCACCTAATCCTGCGCTTCCTCTTCACTAATACTAACTTTCCCTGAAAATGTAACTAAATCCAAGATGTCATCCATGGGTACTAAGTGTGTTTATACACGGCCAACTGGATTTCTCTATTCACGAAGGTCATGGTTTATGTCACAAGGCACTATTCGAGTGCATTGTGACATAAACACATCAACGTAAATTGCAGCAACGTAAATTCACATAATTCAGCAATGTAAAATCACAGCAGCAAACAGGAATAGGTTTTTAAGGCCTTTATTCCTCTATTTCATACATTTTCATAATTTAACATAAATTACCCTAATTATATTATAAATGTTGTTGAATTAAATAAAATTCAGTATTTATATATCTTAAAATAATTCTCTTTGCAAGAAATGTTATTTTAATTAATTGAATTATTTAATTATTGCCTAATCCATTGTGATTAAAATAACACATTGTTTCAGCAAATTTGTTAAAACATCTGCGTAAAACATATAGTATTTCACTCGGTTTTAGTTTTCAAATTACTCACTTTCACATGCAGGGAAAGAGGAAAGAGGCCTCCATCTTCCACGTTGACAAGTTAGCACAATATCATCTCTTTCACCATTTTCAAAACGATAACCCGGCAAGCATGTTCCTCGACACGTTCTGCGATAAATAACAGTTCATTAGACAACTACGTATAGATCTAACAGAATAACGATATACAACCATTATTATTAGTCTCAAAATGGCATTTTGCGTCGAATTACGTTTCAAGTTCTTGCCACTAAAATATTATCGCCCTGTATTATATTTAAAGAAACTAAATATTGAAGAATCTGCATGAATGTATATAAGTTTCTCTAAGTGTTGCCAATAAAATATTCTCATCCTGTATTATATTTAAAGAAATTAAATATTGAAGAATCTACATGAATGTATATAAGTTTCTCTCACTGTGAAAAAACAGCGGCACCTAGATTCATCCAGTTTTGAATAACATAGTCCTCCACCCGAACATGGGCACCTGGAAGCCGGAATGTGTAATTTGTTTTACTATTTCATATTTTGTAAAACTTTAACGTATTTTTCATTCAAAAACTGAACGATTTCAATATTTTATTTTACTTTATTTTGACCTAATTACCTTTAAATAAGATGCCTTTAAAAATCGTATATTTAACGGTTTTTAAGTTACTCAAAAGCTTCAAAGGATTTTAGAAGGCCGGTGGGGTATCTCAAAAGTCACAAATAAATTATTACGGTTGGCCCGCATTTTTTCATCAGAAATTATATTGGGTCAGTCCATAAATTCGTGCGCATTTTTTGGTAAATTTTTAAATAATATAAAAAACACAGGTTAACATTTTAATCAATTATATATTTCCTCCATTCTACAAGGCTCGCCTCCTACAAGCAGGTTATTATGCCATCCTGTAGAAAGACTCTGTTTTGATGAAAACTTAAGTCATTGTGTACATCCTGTTTAGAATTTCTTTTTTGCCAGAAAAAAGGCACGAAATAAGTGAAAATCATAGGGGCAATATCTGGGGAGTCAGCAGGATGTTGCAAAAGCTCCCAACTAAATTCACTCATTTTTTGCAGCGTTGTTCGAGCCGTATGCGGTTTAGCGTTATCACGATGAAACAACGCTTTCTTGATATTCACCCATCGTAGGCGTTTTTTGATTCATTCCGAGTTTAGACGGCAAAGTTGTTCATTATAAACTTCTGAATGATTTCAGATTCTAACAGTTCAAAACGTTTTTAACGGGGTTCATCATGAATGTTGCTTTTTCCAACTTTAAAATTTTTAAACCATTTCTGGACACTATCTTTACACTAATAGTGTGTTCACCAGGTACACTACTATTTTTTTATCGCTGCAAACCTAGCAGATTCACCACACGAAAATAAAAAAATGTAGCACAGCACATTTATACTGATTATCTATATTCATCTTCTATGGGTACTAAAATGCGTTCGATATTTACGAAGGTTGGTAATGAACTGAATAATATGTTAGTCAAACGATGACAAGTTTCAACAGGCTAGAAACTGTATTGTTTTAGTAAATGCTTCATAGTGAATTCCGGGCATACTCTTAATGCGCACGAACTTATAAACTGACCCGATAATTTGACTATTGTCTGTATTAATTGGGGAAAACTAACCACGGACGTGAAGATTTACATTGTGTCTTTTCTACACTTTTCATAATTGTTGTGTATCTTTGATTATATGCTTTACTTAAAGCATTTAAGGTCTTCGTGGTAACTCGCTGAAATAATATTCTTTAAAAATTATCACCTGAGAAAGTATGAGAAAATGATTTCAAGAGAATATAAAACCATTTATTGCAGTTTTGGAATTTCTATATCGCTTAAGATTTTTATCTCTTCTGGTAAACACTACCGATCAAATTGGTTAATGCAAACTGTTACAGCTGAGACATTTATTACCCTTTCGCATTTCACCGCATTCAAAACATTTAGATTGCATCGCAGAAGTTTTGAATGCATTATTTTGATTGTGTTAAGGCTTGTGACACGATTCAGATCTCGGTGGAATTGTAAGGAACGAGTTAGCTTATGAACGTGCTTAACATACTCTATTTCAAGGACAGCGAAAGAAGTGGAAATTCCTTCGCTACCATCATCCTGTTGATTTTCATAGTTTACGAGACATGAAGAAAAGTTAAGAAGCTCTTTTAACTTATCGCTAATCATTTTATTTAACGTAACTGGTTTAGAGAAATAATATTACTCCTACATTTATATTTTTCTTAGATTTATTTTTCTTCATTTTAACTTAACACAATTAATCTTTGTTACCTTGACTTAACTTGAATCTTGAAACAACTGTTATTATTATTTGCATTATGACCACTAGCTTTCCGGCATGTCTCCTCGTTCACTCGACTTAAATCTCTATAATTTCTGGTTGTGAGGATTCCTAAAAGACAGTGTTTATGGAGGAGGAATTAACACTTTACCTGAGTTAAAAGCAAGCATTACACGCCATCTTGCTGGTATCCCTCCAGAGTCACTTCGCGCTACCACTGAACACGCTATAATGCGCTTTCAACACGTAACTGATGTCAATGGAGCTCACATTGAGCACATTTTGTAACTCTACTGGTCAAAATTTGAACTATTTTTACTTCCTTGTACGAAGCGAAAAGGAAGAATTGTAATCGCAAAAAGTTTCAGGCATTATTTTTCAACGCAAATATCCATTTTCAACACTATCGAAAGCAATTTAACGATGATTTTGGGTGACATCTGTACGTAAGGACAGGATAAAGGACTCTTTTGCCCCAAAAAAATTGTAAAACCAATTTAAAATGAATTCTGAAGAGAATTTTTCGTGGCGTCTGTGCGTATGTATCTCGCATACCAAACGAGTACTCAGAACGTTAAATTTTATGATAGGACTGCTACAATATGCAGATGTGACCTCGTATTTGGGTGCAATGGCGCACAAAATATAAATATATGTATCTATATATATCACTCCTTACTCGCTCAGTGATCTCAGTTTCCTTACTCTTAATGTTTTGATGGCATTTTTTGCTTTGAAAAATGATTGAAGGTGTTTCTTATCTTCCGGTTAGTTTTAGCCTTAGTAATTTGATGCATATTTTAGAATTACCACAATTTAAAAGTCTTAAGAGCCGAAGCTAATAATATTTTCATGGTAGCCATTGCTTGTTTAATTGAAAGCAGAATTAGATTTTGCCATCTAAGAAAGTAAACTCACAATAACAAAGATAACGCTTCTTTTTTTGCGATAAAATCTTGCTCAATCCATTCTGGAATTATTCGACCAATACTTTTAAGATTTCTTCATATTTTCAATAAGACATCATAAGTTTTAATGTATTTTGCCTGTCGCAATGAGAATTGAATTAATTAAGGAGAAAAACTCAATCGTTTGTGAAAAAACTTTTCTTTTTGTTGTTTGTTCTTTGCTTAATTTCTTTTACACACTGCCTATATTTATATATTTTGAATAGATATGTGGCCACGATATCAATTCTTAAGATGATATAAATTTTGTGCATCTGTTTAAATAATGAACGAAATATAAAGCTGTTAAGTGAACGAGCGCCAGAGTGTTGGTATGGTAACCAAATATAGTGAATTTTAAGAGTGATTTTGGTATGTGGTTTATCGCTATCAAAGTAGATTTAATAATCCATAAGTTTAAATGACAGCAGAAAAAATGTTATAATTAATATTCGTAAAGAAGTCATGTGGTACACACATCAGATTTTTTATTGCAGAAATTGTATAACATAGTAGTAAGTAGAACGGGTTCTAGTGTGATCTGAATAAACTAAACTAAACTCTGTGGCGTAACAGCCCTAGTGGGCCAAGGCCTGCAGTGCCCCGGACCTGTAATGCTGCTGCGCATACCGTTAGCCACTGTGCCACCGGGCTTTCAATGTGGTCTGACTAGGGTCACTTAATTCTAACCACCCTGTATTTGGGAAAATCTTGGATTCATCTCTATTTTCCAGCAATACTAGCTGTTACTGGAGCATTATTTTGTTTATTTTTTCCTTGTGGTTTTAAGGCGTGAAAGAAATCACGGTTTCTACAACTAAAACAAACCGCATCGCTAGTAAAATAACGATAAATGGAAATCTGAAATATATCGTAAGAAAGCTAAAATTTCATGTATCTCATAAGAAAACGAAAATAATTCCTCTTTTATGAAAAAACAAACAAACAAATACAGGTCCTGGACCTGGGGATCATTAGGCGAAAAAGGAAAGTGGTAGTCATTGTAATAGATTTAACGCTACCCAGGCTGCCCCAGGAGAAAACGTGCTACCTAACATCCGGCTACCTGCATCAATTCTTTTCCAGAGATTCAATTTCCAGAGATTTTTCAGGACCATCCGTACAGCATTCAGCGTCGCCAACCACTATATGTGCTGAACCACTAGTTCCTCTTTTATGGATCTCATTAAGTAAAGAAATAACGAATGGAATTTTCTGCACCTTAAAAAGAAATTTCATGCACAACCTTTCGTTTATATTTCCTCTCTTGATAAATACTTTAAAATCCATCATTCATTTTTTTTTTTAATTTTAAAAATTAAGCTTTGAGATTTCACTCAGAATGTAAGCTTTAATTTCATGCATTTCACTGTTGTTGTCTTGTCCATGTATTTCATGGAAGAATGGTTGCCAGAGCATCAAGGAAGTTGGACTTCTACCCCAATTTTCAGAAACCATCCCGGGGGATGGTCCGAAGGTTTGCAATCTCTCTCCCCTACCACCAACGACACGAGAGGACTTTCGGCTCGCATTATATTCCCCATGCCGCATAGACACTATACATTTACAAACATCCATGCCTTCTCCGGAATGGGAACTCGGCCCTTATCTACTGCAGTAGGCTCCCCTAACCTATAAGTGAGAGTATATATACTTTTATTTGTTTCGGAATATATATGTATGTAAGTTGTAATTCTATAAAGTTGGTATTATGTATATATACATTAGTTGATTGTATTCTTCAAGTGCTTTGTATGCACATGTATTTCTTTTTGAATTTTAAAAGTCGTCTGCTCAGTCGGAGTGCCCGGCTGCGCCTGCAGTAGTGACTCTAGTGGTAACCAATTCGCATGGATATATCTATACCTGGGTCGGAAGCCAACTCAGCGGTTTACTCCCCTAACCACTAAACCGTCTGGGTGGCCATGCACGTTTTAATTACATTATTATTATATTATCTGAAAACAATAGCAAGTTTTCAGCAGTAACATTACTGTCTGGCTACCACGAGCGCTACTTTTTCGAGTATGACTGGAGGCCTTCGCTATAGTTAAGGTTCTTAAAGATTTCAAGCAGAGGTTTTGGTGTATGTAATTACGGCAAAGCCTCGAGGGTTATCTGCCTAAGGGAAAGATGCCTTCATGGAGAACTTTCTAAAAGAAACTGGCTCGTATACACAGTATGCATAAGGAAAACTACGAAAGCGCCCATGCAGCCAGCCCATTCGCGAGATTTGAACCTCGAACCGAACTACCAGAGTTTAGCGACGTTACCTCTCCGCCGCTGGTGACCTTTCAAGCACAGGTGAAACAAGCGAATGTCTAATTGTTATTTTGTTTTGGAAGAATTGCTAGTCATGGGAACTAACATATTTGAAGCAAAAAGGATAAAAACGTATATGGCAAATTGATCACTTAAATTCATTTTTGCAAGACGCCGCGACGAAAAATGCATCAGAGCTAGTTTTACAGAAATACACAGCAGTAGACATTCTATGAGGAAGTTTTCTTGGGGTAGACAATTATTTATAACAGAGTTTCATAATATGCTCAATCAATAATTTACTATAATAAAAATTAAATTAGCAATTTAACTTTTTTTCTTGTTTAAACAGAGAAATTTTAGGCACATAATCTATGGTAATAAAATATTCAACTATATAAACAGTTTTACCGTATGTTTCTTTCTTGGTTACATCTTATGGATCCTAACTTTGGACTTCCTAACTCTGGACATGGATATCCTAAAAGAATAGAAAAACATCGTTTACTGTAATTGACTGAAATCTTAAAAATATTCCAAAAGTACTTGTACATTTGCCTTTTTAATGGTTCAGTAACATGGCAGCTTTATTGTCTGATCTTTGTAGGTACACAGCGAAAAAAAAGGAGGAAACAGTTCTATATCTCCCATTTTAATGGATCGATTAACGAAACTCATTTTGCCTTTTTCATGTCTCGAAAGCAAGGCTAAGGATATGTATTAGATTTATATATAGCATTGATCTAATAAAGGTATTTTTGACATAAAATCGGACTTTTCTGAAATGACATGGCATTTTTTTTCCATATTTCGAATTTACGCCTCAAATTATGCCAAACTTTCAAGTTTTGTAAAAAATCGCACGAGTAGTTTTTTTAAAAAAATTAGTTTTCAAAATTTTTACTCCTCCATGTTAATTAAATTTGGTATATATTTATTAATATCTCATATTTTATTAAACATATTTGATTCTTTTTCTTTCACATTTAGAAATTTAGGTACATTCCAAAAAAATTCCTCATTTTTTATATATTTTTTTAAATTGTATTTAAAAACGTTTTGTAAATTTTCGAAAAATCGAATTAAAGCGTATAATATTTTCACCATCACTTAAATAGATGTATTTTAAGCATATCTGCAAAAATTAGAGTTTTTTATTTAAAATTTCTAGATATACGTAAATTTGCAATTCCGCGTTTTGAAATTGGGCAATTTGTATAAGCGATAATAACGCCAAATGTGTTTATGCACTTTTAAAATTTTTGAAGTAAACGATGACGGGGAAAAAGGAAGGAAAATAGGCTGCTATAAATCAGGCACAAATGAAAAAAAAAAAAAAAAAAAAAAAAAAATGAAATATTTTTTTAATTTCCCTAAATTTGTCGCCAAAATTGCAAAATTTATCTAAGCATATTGCGTCGTAATCAAATCTGAAATAAAAATTGAGTTATTGAGAACAAGTCCGTTTTGCGTCAAAATACTATATTAGAACACTGCTATATATAAATCTAATACATATCCTAAGTAGCGCTTTCGAGACATGAAAAAGAGAAGTTGAATTTCGTCAATCGGCCCAGTAGAACAGGAGATATAGAAATGCCCCCCCCCTTTTTTTTTATTTGCGCGGTGTACATATTTTAGTTCTTAATAATGCAGAGTTAGTGATCTAGTGTGTAGACATTTAAAAATATGAAGAAACATGGATAATTTCATTCAGGCGGAGAGAAGACGGAGTGACATTACAGTCACTAAATTTAAATTTTTAAATACCGCTAGTAATTTTCCATCACTGCCAATATTTTACAATTTAAATTTTCTGATATCTCATTTCCTTAAGAGAAGTGTTTCATTTGCATCTGTAGATAATAAACAGCAATTATTCACTTTGCCGTAGTTTGGAAAAGGACGGGTAAATGACTTTCTAGAGATTGGAAAAGGGGTGCATGGAGAAAAATACTTTTGAATAGATATAAAATGCGTTAGCCTAGCTTTCTTAAGTAAAGAATGACGTTGGAAAGAATTACTCTCAATGGAAGTGTCAACGATTAGAAATACGATTATCCGTTTTTTAAAAAAAAGTTGAAATTTTTGATTTATTGGAATACAAATTATAACTATCATGTTCTATGCGGAAAAGATGCTGAACTAATTCTGATACAGTTTCCTCAAAATATCAGTTTGCATAAGAGAAACAAATTAAATAATGGGAAAAAACTGTAGCTGCTGATTAAAACTGTCATGTTCTATGCGGAAAGGATGCTGAACTAGTTCTGATACAGTTTTCTCAAAATGTCAGTTTGCATAAGAGAAACAAATTAAATAATGGGAAAAGAAAACTGTAGTTGCTGATTAAAACTATCATGTTCTATGCGGAAAAGATGCTGAACTAATTCTGATACAGTTTTCTCAAAGTTTCAGTTTGCATAAAATAAACAAATTAAATAATGGGAAAAGAAAACTGTAGTTGCTGATTAAAACTATCATGTTCTATGCGGAAAAGATGCTGAACTAATTCTGATACAGTTTTCTCAAAATGTCAGTTGGCATAAGAGAAACAAATTAAATAATGGGAAAAGAAAACTGTAGTTGCTGATTAAAACTGTCATGTTCTATGCGGAAAAGATGCTGAACTAGTTCTGATACAGTTTTCTCAAAATGTCAGTTTGCTTAAGAGAAACAAATTAAATAATGGGAAAAGAAAACTGTAGTCGCCAATCTCCTCTATGTTTTTCTTTCCATATTTCGTAACTCATTTTTCTGTATAGAATGGTCGAAAAAGGTGGCTGCCGATTTTATCCTGCAATAGACGATTTTATTTCCTTATATAAATATGTGAGACGTCTACTTCCAGTTCTAAAATTTTTCAAATATAGATAAAGAATTTCTGAAATATTCTGGCAGTACTGCTGAGGGGAAAATTATGTGAACACAAAAATCTAACAGTTTTATATCGCCCAAGCAGAGCAAATATTTCAGCTAATAAAATATCCCTTACGTTTTCATACGCTGTGAAAACATACACTCAATATTCGCAAATATATTCCCAATTAATGTCGTTACAAAATGTCCAGCCTCGGTAAGATAGCTTCCCAGCAAAGCAGGTTAAGGGTTGCCATAAAATGGTAAGGGAAGGCCTGGTTGCCATATTTGGCGATAAATCGCCCATTTAGCGACACTTGGCCATATGCCTAGACAGATGGAGGACCTTCTGGAGGGAATTCTTACAGGTATGGCCCAGAATGTTCTGGAACACAGGCCACAAGCTATATAAACCCTGCTGGTATGCGGAAAGTCATTCAGTGTCTTGTTTAGCGAGTCGATCGCGAGTCTTAACTGAACCGAGTAGTCGAGTCAGCTAATAGTCAGTGAGCGAGAGGGTCAGCGAGTGAGCGAGTCAGTAAGTGAGTGCTGCGGCATCTTGAATAATATTGGCTAACAAATTGCGTTATAGTGAATAACGACGACACATGATGAAGTATTCATCAAGTGTCGTTGTTATTCACTATAAATGCATGAACAAGTGCGTACCTAAAGGAAAACGTAACAATATTTTGCTGGGGCAAATAATAACACACGCAAATAATAATTTCGCAAATAATAATTTCACAAATAAAAATTTCACAATAATCTGCAATAACGAAAATATTTATTTTTGCAATTGCTTCTTAAGTTTGGTCGAATAATCTTAAACTGCTATTTATAACAATATTTAAAAGAGATTTAAATCAACAAATTCACTCTGTAAATTTCTCTTAAAATTTTATATGCGAACGGCATGAATACTCATTAATTTAATACGAATTTTTAAAGGAAACATTTTAATATTTTGGTTACTTCTAATAAAGCATACTGCATGCTTTAGTGATTGGGAATTCTGCTGTATGGGAAACGTAAATATAAACAGATTTTGAATTTGTAGTAACTTCATTTCAGTTCTAGAGTTAAAACTTTTTTCATAAAATTCTTTAATTTATTTTGAGAAAACAAGTTAGAGGTATAGATTTTATTTTCTTAAATATTTCTTTCACGATTTAAAAACTAAAACTTTTACTACCTTTTCGACTTTTCTGTGCGACATAGTCTAAACATTTTCTTTATCTAATTATTTCCTTTTTTTCCTAAGTTTATTATTCCTTTCATTAGCTAATTCGTATTTATACTGAAGACCAAAAGTGATCTTTTAACACAAATTTTTTAAACACCTTTAATTAAAATTTGAAGTTTCATACAGATTTTATAAAAATTAAATAAATAAAACAATAAAAATTTCATTTGGTATTAATCACGGAAAAATACCAAATAATTTAATTTTAAAAGGTTAAGTAAAATAAAATACAGAGCTTTAAAAAACATTAATTTAAGAATGAAATTAATTACCAGGATATCTCTGTCTGGCATTCGTAACGCTATATTGCCGTTTTGTGCGAAGTAATCTTTTCTCTGCATTCTCTGTAAAAAAATAAATAAAATGAAATAAAATATTTTTTTTTTTAATCTTAAAGCTTTCGGATTTTACATTACGCCCAAGGAGACGTTCTTTTTGATTTATACACACATATACGTTTCAAGAGCATTTAGGCTAACGCCACATCGTGCTAAAAATATTTAAAAACAGAATTCTTAGAGTTTCTGATAGTCTTGCGCGCTGGAGATAAAAAAATATTTAATTTCCTACGGCGTTGCCACTGCTTGCTTCGAAATTGTTGAGTTTCTTGATGAAAATTCGTTAAAGTTTTACAAAATATGAAATAAAAAATAAAATAAATTCGAAATTCAAAATTCTGGCTTCCAGGTGTGCATATTCCGATGGAAGACTGTGTTATTCAACATTTGATGACTCTAACTACGCTGTTTATTTGCGATGCGAAAAACATGCATACATTTATGCAAATTATAATGCAGAACGATAATATTCGATGGCAACACTTTGAAAAGTGATTCAGACTTTTATAGTGATTCAACGCAGAATCCTGTTTTGAGACTAATAACCCTTTTGTCTAACGCTCGTTTGGGGGAAAAAAAAAAAAGTTGAACTAAAGGCACATTTAGAAACTGAAGGGACATAAGAGGCAATCCTTTACCGATGAAGATTTAGATTAAGTTTTAATTAAATAAAAGTAAATTATGCATTTTGTCTTATTATTTAATACAAATGCAAATAATGCAAAAACAATAGAAATGATAATAAAACAAATAATAAATAAAATAAATAATAGAAATAATAATAAAATAAATAATGAATAAAATAATAAATAATAAAAATAATAAAATACAAAATAAAAATATACAAATACAACGGAAATTCCTTATTTAATTTTAATACAATAAAAATAAAAAAAAGATTATGAGCTTAGTTTTAGGGCTTACTTAAATGAAAATAAATTTCATTGCTTTGTTTTAATTACGATGAAAATGCGTTATGTATTTAAATAAAAAAGAAATAATTTCAATCCTTCATTGTGCCGAAAAAATTCAAATTCATATTTCGTTTTACAAACGTAGAAATGTTTATTATTTAATAACATTTATTCCCTTTTATTATCGTAAATACACACGTGACCTTTAAAAAAATTTAGTTATCAAAATAACCTATTATTAGTCTGTGCTTGCAATAAATTCGAATATCTGAAATTCTTTCATATAAATAAAAAAGCCAGTGAATTTTTTAGCGACGGCAAGCCATCTATAAATTTGCTTATTCTTAATAATACCATTTACTGGTGAATAAATTAATATTAAAAAGAGAGAAAAATTATTTTACCTTCATTTATGCAATCAAACTTATTTCTGCAGATTTCGCAATGAGTTAAGTGTGCTTTGCATTTTTCACAAACAGAGTAAGTTTGACAGAAATGTTCTTCATCTGTTAAAGTGGCTGCACAAAACCTAAATAACAAATTTTTTAAAAAAATTATAAAGTGCAAAAGCTTACTTAGATTAAAATATTTCCTTGATGTTTGTTAGATAATTTTAAGTTAAAAAAAAGCTCAAATATCATCATCATCATAGAGGTCAACATAATAGTGCTAACTAATAAACTGGTTATGAGTAATACCGTGTGCCGTTATAAGACTAATACCATTCATTCACCACTAGATATCTGATAAGGGACGTTTTTTAACATCTTAAAAACATTTTTTTATTAAATAAACAAACTTTTTAACATTGTTACCTTTATTTATTAAATAGCATGTTCTCCGCACTTAAACCATAAAATTCAGTTCAACAGCAAAATTGCAAAATAATTGTAAATTGAATTATCTCTAGAATTAAATTATCTTTAGAATTTCTGATACACAGTTTCACGCGCTAGAAATAAAAATGCTTTTTCTGTGCAACGTTGCCATTCTCGCTTTGAAATCCTTGAGTTTGTTAACCAAAAATTCGTTAAAGCTTTACAAAGTATGAAATCGATAATAAAAAAATTCCAAATTTGGGCTTCTAGATGCCTATTCACGTCATTCAAAATTGGATGGCTCTAGATACCGTTGTTTTATCACAATGCGAGAAACATACATGCGTTCATGCAGATTCTTCGTTATTCAATTTCTTCAAATATATTACAGGGCGATAATATTGGGTGGCAACAGTTTGAAAAGTGAAACAGACATTCAGAATGATTCGATGAAGAACGGCAAAACGAAAACAATAGTCCCTCAGAGACAAAGCTCCTTTGGACTAAAAATAAAAGTATTTATTTTTATCCTTTATTATCAGTTTGGAACTTGGCAAAATGTCATTGGCGGTGTACCATAATATAGAATGAATTACAGAAGTATTAAATTAGTTTGTAATTTGCGTATGTATCTGCATGATAATTGCATAAGATGTTTAAGCAATCAGCGTAAAAACTTCTGAGAATTCCATCGCCGTGTATAATTCATTACAGTTTCCAAAATATTTCCGGTTTTATGCAATGATATTCCGCATGCGGATATGTGCTAATAATTTGATATTTCTGGTTAATGACACTGAAAAAATAAAATATGTTCCTTTTAGGATGATTTTAAAAAATTGTGTTATGAAGAAAATTAATCAAATTGTGAAATATTTCAGCTTTTTAAGTAAAGCCACTTTAATTTAATTCATTTATTTGTTCGCTCATTTTTCTTAACTGCCATTTCACTGGTATTAAAATATTCATAAGGAAAAAGAAAGCTGCTTCAGAAATAACAAAAATTTCTTTAAATCTGCAAAGATGAACACTGTAAATAATTATCACACTTGTTTAGCTTTTGTGAAACACATGAGCAACCTTTTTGTATAAGACCTATGCAGGCTTATTTTAAATAAAGTGGTCTGATTTTATTCGTATTAAACTGCCATAGTATTTAATACCACCATTTTAAAAATATTTACAAAGAAGTAATCAATGAAATAAATATATCTTCTTTTTAACAGATTAACAATATATCTCTAAACATTAAATATGAAACATTTTAATCTTAAAATTTATGTTTACTAAAATCAAGTGCTTCTGAAATATTTACGAAAAAGTAGTCGTAGTATGAAATAAATATATCTTCTTTTCACGGATTAAGAATATATTTCTAAATCTAAAATAGCATTTTAATCTTATAATTTATGTTTCTTGAAAGCGCATGTTTCTAAAATATTTAGGAAGAAGTAGTCGTTGAATGAAATAAACATATCTTCTTTTCGCCAAATAAAAATATATTTTTAAACCTTAAATATGAAGCATTTTAATCTTATAATTTATGTTTACTGGTATCATGGACTTCTAAAATATTTACAAAGAAGTAGTGGTAGAATGAAATATATCTTCTTTTTGCAGATATATTTCTAAACCTTAAATATGAAGCGTTTTATGTTATAATTTATGTTTACTGATATATTTATGTTTACTTCTAAAATATTTACAAAGAAGTAATTGTAGAATGAAATAAACATGTTCTTTTCATAGATTAACAATATATTTTTAAATTTTAAATATGAAGCATTTTGATCTTAAAATTTATGTTTACTGATATCACGTACTTTTGAAACAGCTAAGAAAATTAAATTAAATATAATACTAGTATAGATGTACTGAATTAAAGAAATTTACTAATGTATAACCAGTGCTTACCAGTAAGCATTATTTGTTTCAGGCAATGTATTTTAAACTGTGTACCCTATTTTAGTTGACTGTATTACAATATAGTGAGGAATGTGATGGTTTTTTTTCTGCTGAAGCAAGTGCGTATATAATATTTAAGAGCTGCATACTTTCTTAAACAACAAAAACTATTCATGAGGTGAGAAAAAATATCTGAAAATATAATTTTATTTAAAAAACCGTGTTGACTTCTAACATGTTATAATTTAAGAGATAAGATCGTTATTTACTTACGTGAAGTTCCTCTTTGGTGAATCGCATGAGCATGTCACTGAATATGGACAAAGAAAAGTTGAATCAACGATTAAAGCTGCTGATAGGCCATAAAAAAGAAGAGCTAAAGAAAAGATAAAATTAGCAACATTTAAATTACATACTACTTTGGCAATATATGTGATTACCCAACCTATATCAATAACAAATGCAGTTTGTAATAACGTTACTTTCGTTTAATCTCTTTTAAGATAAAAAAAATAAAGATAAATAAGAGATAAGTCTTTAAGATAAATCTTTTAAGATAAATTTTCTCTTAAACTATGCTTTAAAATGCCCAACTTATTTAAAACGGGTAAAGAAAATGCAGAATAATGCTGTATAAAGTCAGAACCCCCAAAAGTTGATAAAATTGAAAAAGAATAGAAATATTTCTGAAGTTCTAATTAGTAATCTTATTTAAAGGGAAGTAGTTACGAATACAATTCACTAAAAAGTTTCACAAACATGTTTCTAGAAATAACAGAAGTCATTCTTAAAAAGTTAATTAAATTAAGAAACTGTGGAATGAAGATGTAAAAGAGACGTCGTCTTGCCATTTAAACAAAAATTATCAAAAAGCAAACGAATATCACAAAAATTGTTCGGCAAATAATTATCACCAAGAGTTCTTATATTATTACAATAATTAAAATGATATCGATAATTTAGATTCGGTAAATGTGTTGGTCATAGCACTGTTATTATTTACATTATTACTATGTATCATCATTATAATTTGCCTGTTTTTAATAGTAACACATTTCTTCTTTGATTTTCTTACTCACGTACATAGCATAAGATTTTAACAACTCCTAAAATTTTGTAAACATGGTTGTTTGTGTGTAATCACAAATGTTTTGAGTCAACAGCTTTTACGCAAGCTTAAAAATTCAACGTTGTCCTAACAGGTAAATAGACAACTAGAGCTGGATTGTCGTGATGACTACATCTGGAACCATTATGTGAAGAAATCTTCTAATTTCTTGTGTTTTCTACATAGAATCAACTTCCTGAATATTATTATTTAAAAATTAATTAAAAAAACTTTCAGTTATTCTATTTATTAACTTCAAATATTCCGTATAATTCTGAAAACAAGCATTTTAATAGTATTATGCAAAAAAACGAATATTTTTATTTTAGATATCCATATATAAATTTCTACGAACTGATTTTGTGTAATTTACTTTTAAGTATTGTACAGCCGAATATTACATTTGAAAATGAAATTTTTCAAATGATATCCTTTAAGATGCAAAGATAGTCGGTGCTGACTTACCTGCTGAAAATGACATATTCCTTTGTTTACTAAGAATTCATAAGGAAGGAATCTAGGCTGAAGATCCGCTTCAAGATCAAAGCATCTACTGCTAATAGAATTTTTACTCAAGACGACAGTAACCGCTACGTCATTTCCGAATGCTGATAGCGAATCAAGGAAGTTTAAAATCCGTTCTAGCAAAATACTAGACCCAACCTCCTAACTGGTCATGCCGGTGCTCAATCGTTTACCCACCGCATGCTCAGAGCTTCTGTCGCCAAATGGCCAAAGGTCGTGCAATGGCCGTGACCTTCAGACCCTGCGGCTTTGGGGGGGGGGGGAAGAACAAATCACAGTCCTTTTGTTTGTTATCTTTTCTAACAATTGGTGATGGATAACATGCAAACGTAGAACATTTTAAATAAACTTTATGAATAAAGATGTTCGCCTGCGAGGTAGCGTGTAGAGTCGTTCTTTAAGAACATTCATGGTAATAGTTTGGTAGAAGGTAAATTTTTTTACGGGAAAGAGAATAATTGCTCTATATTATCTACAGATGCAAATGAAACACTTCTCTTAAGAAAATGAGATATCAGAAAATTTAAATTGTAAAATATTGGCAGTGACGGAAAATTACTAGCGGTATTTAAAAATTTAAATTTAGTGAATGTAATGTCACCCCGTCTTCTCTCCGTCTCAAAGAAATTATCCATGCTTTCCCATATTTCTAAATGTTTTTTACACACTAGATCAGTGGGCAGAATACTTAATTTGTAGAAACTGTACACGAAAGTAAAATTAGAAATGCAAAATTAAGAACTTCGAGAGAAGACAAAGTTAAAAATTTTGTATTCTCTTAAGCTGTCTTAAGTATCGCCAAACAGACATATTGAAGAAGTAAAACATCTTGATAAAATTTCGTTACCCTTTAAAATGGAATGTGGAAATTCAGAAATATGAAATTTTATGGTAATTTGCTTAACACATTTTACACGCGCTTCTTTCGCTTTAATACGTTTGCAATGTTGCAAACCCTCGAAAAAGGAATAATCAAAGAGATGAATTAAACTGAACTTTCATTAAAAACATTAGAAAGAAATTTTAATTTTTCTTCAGCATGAATGACAGTATATTTCGACGAACATAACAACAGCATTGAAAAGAAACTAATAATTTAAATTTAAATTTCGTACTTACGGATTGCATTTATGAACTTCATTCACTTGTTGAATCAAAGGTTGAATATGATTGATGATGATTACAGGTAATACCGAAAAATTCCATCATTGTTCTCTGCAATAACCGAAACTCTTTATATATGATAATGAAGTCTATAGAAGTTATTGTTGAATTTCTGAGAGCGGATTTTACGAATGACAGCAAAACAGCTAATTCTACTGGACATCATTAGTTGATTCTACATTGTTGCACGAAATTATGCAAGAAAGGAAAAGCGTGACGGGAAATTTCCTGTGAAATGGAGAATATTGTAGCGCTATATTTCGAATCATTTTTAGTTACTAAGCACTTTTCTCCATCAAGGGAAAAATTTATAAAAACGATTTATAGAATTTCCCCAAAATTTGCCTGGTGTACACTATACTATATTATAATACTACACTGATTATCATAAATTAAGGAAAAAACATGCATGACAGCGTGTAACTGTAATGCGAAGCTGCCAGAAGCTCTAATTTTAAAACCCGGGTCTGTTTTAATAAACGGATAATGTTTTTAGAGGCATTTCTAAATTTTTGGATTAGAAAGAATTAAATATATCTAAAGAGTTTACAAAACAGAAAAAAGAAAGAAAAGAAACCCTATAAACCTGTAACAAATGGGCAGAGAAAACAAAAAACACAATAGCAGTATCAGAAAACGCATAACAAAACGTTGATTCTAGCTCGGTGCTGCCATCTATGTATTTTTTTAAGCAAAAGTTCAGTATCTGAAAAAGAAAAATTGCTGTAGCTCAGAAGCTGAGCGTCATTCGGACTTTCTAATCCTAAAAGTGAAAGTGTTAAACAACTCATTTGTTATAAATCCAAACTGACATTAAAACCATATTGACACAAACTATTACTGATTATAATTTCTGCCTGAATAAACAGAAAAGTGTTAAAAACGTCAGATTGAGAAAAATTGTATTTATTAATTTCTCCTTTGGGGGGGCAGGAGATTCTTGATTGTATCCCGGGCAACTACGCTTGTTGCCTGGGATACTTTTTCGTTTTCATCTGCGATCAGGGCATGGCTCATTCCAGACCTACTTACATAGATTTGGATTTCTGGACAGCGAATTATGTGAATGTGGGGCAGTGGGTTCACCGGACCACCTTGCCTTCGACTGCCCGTTAACTAAATGCCACCACCTAAAAAGACCCTCAGAGGGTTACTGAAGGAATGGACACTTCATATCGTGACATACCCAGCAACACGCACAAAACTCATCAAGATGCTACAAATTTGCACTGAAATAGAATGTCATCCACTTAGCATTTAATCTGCATTGTAACAATATTTCACCTCTGGTAAACATTTGCTTAATTAGAAGAACTTCCTGTTTGTCCAAAGACTAATTGTCAGTTAGAACTTTGAGGAAAGGTGTTACGGAAATCCCCTGGTGCAGTTTCCGGACATAAAGGATGTAGTAAATGGCCTCCTCCTAAAGCATTTCCTCCTAAAGACCTTTTAACAAAAGGGAAAGAAAGGGGCTTTTGTGTGAGATTTTTATGCAGTGAGGGACTTGAGAGAAGACGCAACCAGCGTCGTAAGCCGCATCCAGCGGCCATTGTTTTGCATTAGGCTGTAATGTGTTGATTATTTTACTTAGGATTATTCAAGAAATTCTTATTAATTTTTTAAATACATATTTAAAAGACAACTGCTCTTTCCCTTTTCATCCATCACGGGTGTTCAGACGTTACAGCATAAAGTATGTGTAAATTCTATTCTATTTTAGTCCGTCTTCTAATCTGCAAATGTATGCAGTATCCTACTATGTTTTCTCATTTGAACAGTATGCATTCTATCTGTATAGAACAGTATGTATCTCTCTGTATCACGTAGTAAATGTACGTTACCTCGATATTGCTCTTCCTTGTATATACTCATGTCATTTCTTCAACTATTCTAAGTAATCTCTGACAGCGCATGTTGAATCTGTACTCGCTGATATTAATGTATCTTATACCGTACGGTATACTCAAGCAATGTAATTTATTCTTTACTGTATCGTTTCCTCATTTGCATATTTTAAATGTAATGTAAACTTCACATGTCAAACTGTAAACTGCACACTAATCAATGTATTGTACACCGCACTGTATCCTCATGTGTAATGTAATGTATCGTATTCTGTACTGTTTTATCATCTGTATAATTTAAATGTAATGTAAGTGCAGTGTTATGTAATGTAACTTCGCTGTCTAGGCAACGCAATTTTATTTTGTGCAACATAACATCAGCGAATTGTACGCAGCATCAATATGCAAGACGTTTACGGTACTCAAAGAGACAACAGTTACCTCGGTCTAAGCTACAAACATCCGGTCGGCCAGGTTCTCTCGAATTTCCTTCTGAGTTAGCGTTACTCCGCATGGTTTGTCCTTAGGACGGAGGGCCTACTCAGAGGGCCTACCCTTTACCCCTTCCCTCCCCTCGGGGTGCTCTCCATCAAAACTGGGTAGCTGAACTGGGTAGCTGAAAATTTGTTGGGATACAGAACACTCATTTTCATGTTTGCTCATTAGAATGAGGAACAGCACGCGAGGGTTTCGCTTAAAGGAAGGAATATGTTTATATGTAACATTATACGAGGGTTGCTATTTATATTTCTGGCCTAATAATGAAAAAATAAATAGCCACTTCTTCGGGTGTCGCAGATCCTTGACCACGTAATTTATTTTTGATGTGCGGGAATAAAAAGTCATTGGGTTTCAAATCAGGGTTGTACGGCGGATGAACCGTCAGTTTGATGTTTTGACCCGTCAAAAATTCCTTTGTTTGAGCCGATGTGTGAGAGCCCGCATTTTCATGATGAAGGATGGTTCGCATCTTCTGCTTTTCCGAATATCTCCGATGACAAACAAATGGTCGTATACCATTCGAAATCGATCGCCATGAGTTGCTCTAACGCCACTGTAACCACGTGACTGGTAATGCCGAAGAAACAGGCAACCATTTGCTTGGATGTGCTTCTTCCGCAAACAGCTTTAACTAGAGTCGGCTTGTTTTGGAAGATTTATGCAGTTAACTGCTGTTTTCTTTCGCGCTCATATGCATGGATCCATGATTCGTCACCTAACACAGTACACAGCCTTTGATGCACCTTGAATGTATATTTCCCCCATTTCTTTGCACCAGTCGGCAAGAGCCTTCTTTTGAGCGTTTGTCAGATTACAAATGTTCATGTAATATCAATGCTTGTCATAACAATGTCCAAAGATGCCTCAATCTCAAGGTATGTCACATGACGATCTTGCTTTATCAGTTCATGCACAGCATCGATAGTTTTTGGCACAACAACCAATTTTGGACGACCTTCACGGAATTCGTCCTAGAGCGAACTTCGATCGCAATTGAATTCGTTATACAGTTTTTTACAGTGCTGTAGGATGGTGCTTTATCGCTGTATTAAGAATTCAGTTCGTCGGAGTACTCTTGTATTGATAATCCACGTCGAAATTTATGAAAAAAAACCGCAGGAAAATGTTCCCGAGTCCATTCCATTTTTTGCCGGAGATAAATTTTTCATTTTACTGTAAACAGCACAAATCACGCTAAAATGGCAAAACGTTCTAAAGACGTTATGGTTAAAAATATCAAACTTTCGATTGGAATCGCTTACGTTCACCTAGTCACACTTAGTATTGCCAATGCCACAAATATAAATAACAACCTTCGTGTAAGACATTTCAAGGAAAATTTATATTCTCTATTGTTCCACATACACTAGAATAGACCCTATAATGACCTGGCGAATTCTAGCATAGGCGTGAATGAAATTACTTACTCAGACGAAGGGTAAAAATAAACCTTTATTAATTCAAAATAGTTAACAGAAAGGCACGGACTTTGTGCGCTACCAAAACCCCATCAATTTCCAGTGAAACACTAAACGTAGAATATGATGTAAGTCAAACCTAAAATAAATAGGGCAAAATAGCACTTAAGTTACGCTTAAGAGGTGGACTCACAGAAACCTAACCGGCGTGATACTAAAATCTGATAAGACTAAAAGGCTTA